CTCGTAGATGATGATAAATAACATAGTTATGTATAATATATTACATTTCTGACTGTATATCCCTGTAATTATTACACACTGTAGCTTTAAAGAAGGATCCTGAGTCTATTTTTGTTTGAATTTAGGTATTGAATAACAGAGTGACACTTGTGTTTCAATAGACACCTAAAACCATCAGATTTCTGAAAGTCAGTTCAGTTGATTTATAGACTAATTTTACATGCAACTCCACATGTATGACAAGGAGTGAATCTGATTTAGAATGAAGACTCTACGCTGCTATAAGTTAGAGTAGTGCTTAGTATCTATACAAAGACTGATATAAAGCTTGGAAAATATATATTTTCAGGACATTTTAAAATGAACTAACAGAGTGAGGGCATAAAGAAAACTACTTGCCAGCCTCCCTTTCATGTTTGCTTTTTTAAGCCATATTTTATCTATCTAAGTTTAAACTTTAAAAAAAAATGCAGATTGCCAAATGAAATGACAAATTGCTCTTCAGAAAAATAGCCTTCTGATAGAAATGAGATCTAATTTAATAGGTTGTATATCACTATTCAAACAAAGAGCTTCTCATGCATCCAGTCTAAGCTTTAGTAGTTAGGCAACAATTGTTACAATGTCTGTTTAAAAACAGCACTTGTTGATTTTTATCAGGACAACATAAATTTGTATCAGTGTATATTTTTTTTATCTTAAATTAGACACTATTAAAGTAACATTTAGTAACTTTTAGCCACTAGGGATGCTAGACCTGTAACTTCCAGGTTTAGTGCCTCTGAAGGTCTCCCATGTTTTGGAATCTGATAGCAGACCACTTTGAGCTGGGAGTTAAAGAAATCAACAACAACCTTTGGCTTAGTTAGCTGTGACTTTGGGTCACATGACTTATTCAGTAACGGATCCAACCTTCTCATTACATATGCAGGTCTTTGAGCAGGGCAGACTAGAAGGAGCACTGATAGACACCAGGTGTTGTATGTTGTAGGGGTGTCCCGATTCAACCTTTTCATTTCTGATACGTTATTGATATTGACTATCAATAATGCAAATTATACATCCTTTTATTACATAAAATCTATCAGGTGATATTTTTCAAATAAAAAATACTTAACATCAAGTAGAAGAACTGACCCATTTCCTTTTCACCAAACAGTTTCATAATCTTTGTTGAAGATTTCAGAGGCAAGTCGATAGATTCCGATATTCATTTTTTGGCTGATATGGCTGATATTTCAGATAATGATATCGGATAAGGACACTCCTAATATATTGACCTATAAAGAATTATTTAATATATCTCAAATCAAGCTAATACTACAACATTTAAATATGCTTAAAGTTCCAAAGCAGGTCCTCAAGATCTTTTGTCCCACAGATTTTAAAGGCATCCCGGCTCCATTACATCTAATTTTAATGACTGAATTACCTCTTCAGTCATCAAGTTTGGCAAAGGCTGAGCTATTAATTTGATTCACCTTTGTTAGAGTAGACATGCATCTAAAACCTACAGGACAGTAGATATACCATGTTTTATACATTTGTATTGGTTAGCAAATACCATATATCCCTTCAATAGTTACTTCATTTAGGACAGAGATATTTTAATGAAAAAGATAAAAAAAGGCTTTTTGTGAAAGAGCATGTAATGGGACATACCGGTAACATAAGGGAAAACCTACACCAAAGATAGGAGAGAATAATGCTAATGATAAACAAACAGCAAGAAGGTGAGTGTTTACAGACATGAGACAACATTATTTGCTCAGCGTCTGCACTATTGTGTGATTTTTCTGCATAACTTTCCACAGAGAAAGGAAAGTGAGAGTAAATGGGGACAGTTTTTGTGCGCCACAGGAGAGAAGGGGAGCGGTGACCAAGTGCATTAACATACAGATAGAATAGGAAAAGAGTTTTAATGTACTCAGGAGGCTGAAGGAATGGAGATGTAGAATGAGAGGTGGAGAGGAAAGGGCCAATGAAGACGAAGAGAGAGGAAGACAATCAGCACAGTGGTGACACAAAGGCAGGCATCCGTGACCTTATATCTCACTTCATCATGCAGAAAAAGAAATAAAAAGGCCTACAGGAAGGAAAAAAAGGCAAGAGTAAAAAGACGATGAGAAGGATGGAGGGAAAGACCAAGTCGGAAATACAGAAAACGAAGAAAATTTAAAAAACAGCTTAGGGATCACAGAAAAGTGTGTAAGAATGAGAACATGGAGGTGAAAAAGAAGCTAAAATCAGCTTTAGGAATGGGCTGAAAGAAACCAAAGCATTGAAAAGCTTTAAAGGACAGAGAATCTGTGAATAGAAATAGAAACAACAGAATATTAAGACACACACAGGTCCAGTATCTGACACTCTGCATACTAAAGAAGAGACAGTGGACAACTTGTGCCTGGAGACAAACGGGCACCAGAGACTCTATCCAGGGCGAAACAAAGAAAAAGAAAAGCTCAACGGTGAACTATCTATGGGTTCAAAGTGACCCTACTAAAAGGTTGTTGGTTGTGAGGACAGCCAGAGGTGACATCTATTTTATGATGGAAAGTTTCTGAATAGAAATGAATAAGAAATGCAGAAAATAAAAGAAACCAGCTGAGATCTTCACTCCTCCTTTGTGGTGTGAGACTGAGAACATGCCTTCTGTTAGCAGTTCTGCATTCACACCTTGCAGCACTCTGTCCTCACAACGTTAACCTTCACCACTCATTTCTCTGAGGGCCTGGAAGCTGCTGTCATTGCTCCTAACGCAGGATCCTGACCGTGTTTCAGCTCTTAAAAGCCCGTTAGTGTAAATGTCCAGCCTTGTGTGCTAATGCTGGAAGTGAGAAACCTGTCAAGTTCACGCGGGGCCAGAGATGCTTGGCTTGGCTTGCTAAGCTGTCAGACAAGACAGAAAGAACTCAAACTGTTGGTAAAGTCACTTCTTTTATTTAGAAAATGACAACGCAGCTCTAAACCAGCTATCTAACAACTTATTTTTCCTGCCAGACACAAGCGCATGTCATGTAATGTTTGTCAGTACATGAATAACCAAGATTACTGACACTTTAATGGAACCTTAAGCTATGAAGTATTAAGCTCTAACATCTCCAGATATTTGTTTGCTTTGAGTAAATCAAAAGCTGTTTTTTCTGAATTCTGAATGTATTTTCACAGTTTGCTCAAAGTCATGTCCAATCTTTGTTAAATTAATGCATGTAAGGACAGATCTCATCAGTGATAAATTGTTTCTCATAAGACAAGACAAGAGAAAGTTAAGTAGAACAAGTACAAAAATTTACAAAGTAGATGTAATTCTAAAACATGTTAATTTAAGCATAAATAGACTATATTGGAGTATATTCAAGTCCAATATAATATGTTTGTGTATATATATATACACAAGGGGTGTTCAATAAGTAATGCCCCTGGCCCATTTACAGATGTTTGATCCAGCTGAAATTTTGCATGTGAAGAATTTTAAATCTCTATAGATTAAATAGCAAATTACAGCTCTGAACTAATTGTGGTTTCTGATTTCTTGGTGTTAAAACTGAGTCAAGTCTGAGTTTTTTGCATTTGAAAAGACGGACACAACGGGAGACTTTTAATCAAATGAAAGTAACTTATATTGATAATGTCCCATAATATAACCTTGTAAAACCTTTTGCAAGATCATATAACGGGCATCATCACCATTGACTTTATGGTTACTTTAATTTCATCAAAAGTCTCCCGTGGTGTGAGTCCTTTCCAATAGAAAACCGGTTCACTGCTCGACACTCAACTCCATTTCAGACTTTACTCAGTTCAAACATCTGTAAGTAAGTAACCACAAATGGTTCAGAGCTGTAGCTGTTATTTAAATCTATACAGATTTAAATAACGTCAAATGCAAAATTTCAGCTTGATCAAACATCTGGAAGTGGGTTAGGGGCATTACTTATTGAACGACACTCGTATATATATTTTTTCTGTTTTTGCATTAATAAACATGTTTTAATATTATATGTACTTTGTAAATCTTTGTACTTGTTCTACTTAACTTTCCTTGGTTATAGGTATAAAGGCATATTAGACAGGATATAAGTTATTTTTTGTTGGTATGTTTTGCTTGTTTTCTTTTTTTGCTAAATTTAATCACATATAAAATCTCATACACACACACACATACACACACATATATATATATATATATATATATATATATATATATATATATATATATATATATATGTTTGTTTAAAGTTGGTTTTATAATGTTTAAAAGAGTAGGATATAGGATGTTTATAAGATTTAAATTACAAAATAGGTCTTGAAAAAAATAAATTAAAAATAAATTTTTGTAATCTATGTTTAGATCGATGACTAAAACGAACATAAAGTGATTAACCTAAAACATGATCACTCAAATTTTGGGTGATAGGAACCGATAGGAACAGATGTCCCTCCTTTCTACACATATCAACATTGCTGTAGTTTAAAGACATAGTGTCCTTATATCAAACAGACAAATATCAGGGTAAGATTACTAAAATTTTTTAACAATTACTTTACTTCATAGTAAAATTTTCTGAGGTCTTGAATCCAAAACCGAAGGTGATTAAATCTTGTGAATCTAGGCGTGGTTCACTAGTAAAACCAAATAAACTGAATTAAATACAGAGGGTCCAACAGTTTTCTGTCGACCCGCTTTACGTTGGCAAAAAGCTAATTCCAGCTTTCTCCACACAGCATTACCAAGATGGAGGGTCCTTGACCCAAAATGCCTCAGTCCATTAGAAGCACAACTGTTTTCCTAAAGACTATTATATAAATATATGGTTTATATAGTAATATATAGTAAAACTATTTGAATGTTTATCAGAATGAATGAACATTAATGTAATTTATTAGCAGAAAACCGACATTACATTACATCCTCAAAAGGTCATTTAAGAGCACGCTCTGGTTAACTTACCAGGAGGTTATTGGGTGCAGGTCTCTCCTTGGGGTTCTTCCGCATACTAAGAAAAGAGAGATAGAAGCAGAGAGTATGTGGTCTTCAATTGCCATATTTCTAAGCGGAAAAGAGATGTTTTTGTTCTTTTAATATATGCATACTTTTCATTAATAAATTCATCTATGAAAGAAGTTTTTCTAAAACTCGATTATGCCACAGAAGCTGAAAAAAGTAAGCCTGAATAGCTGTACAACACAGGTAATTTATTCCACATAATTAGAGCATTTGTGTGCGTGTCCTCCATATTTTGTTTACCGCGGTCCGTCAGAACGACCGACACGGGGGACTGTGTGCAGTTAATCGTGAAAATGCTTTATGTATCATAATGAAAGGGCCGTGACCGTCTAAGAATAGTCAGACAGCAAAGTACAAAACGCTGCAGCAAGGCAGGACGGAGCACCTGTGCAGAGAGGTGTCCTGTTTGAGCAAGCCGCCACGGGGGACAAACAGCAGCTGCCGTGGTCTGCTGGTGAGCGCTGAGCACACACACTCGTACACAGAGCATGCGTGTGGTTTGGGAGTGCATGTAAATGTTTGTCTTCCTGTAAAGGTTACAAGTGGCTAATGAATCAGAGGCAAACTGGGTAAACATGAGATTTGTCCTCCTGCATTAGAGAGGCTCTGTCAAAAGGACAGCTTTTGAATTTATAGCCAGCATCTCTGAAACCTACTACGACACAATACGTCAACACACACAGGAACATGCACTTTAATGGTATTATATAGAAGAAAAAAAACACTTGATTCATTTAGGATCTTTTGGCTCATGCTGGACAAATACAGCCTGCGGTGGTTTGAACTGTTCAGTCCAACACACTAGAGCCAGACATGGGCAGCATTATGTTGCTCAAAGGATACACAAATGATCCTATGTGATTAAATCATTAAAACCAATCAAAAGTGTTCTAAATAATAAAAAAAAAATATATGTATCTCTCAAACACATGAAAACTTTGGCACCAGCTGCCGCTGACTCACCACTGAGTGATGAAGTTAACAAACTTTTCACTGAACTGTCCAACAGGAAGTACCGGAGGGTCCTGTGAAAAGAAAAAAATTATTCAGATTAAAAAAATATTTGAATTAACGACAATAATTTTTTTTTAACTTACCCTTTTTAAAAATCTGATTTTTACTGACAAACATTACTATGACTACAAAAAAAAAAAATAAGGAAACCCCAGCTGAAATGTTTTGTGAGCCTCTGACATGTTCATTCACAACCTTACATAGAGGCACACCTGAAAACACTGCTTCCATTCAGCTAACATTAAAAGAAAACCTAAAGAAAGAAGCGCTGTGGACAGAGGTGGGTAATAACTATTTACATTTACCAAGCTACATTTACTAGAGCAACATTTTGACAGAAATATACTTTTACTGTCCCATACTTTTGAATGTTACTTGAGCAATATATTAGTAAAATATTGCTATTCTTACATGAATAAAATAATTACCAACAATCTTGTTTTAAACAATGACACACAATGAATATTTATGTCAAAGTGAGAATTTTTTTTGTACACAAGTTTACACTATTCATTATTATTTATCATTATTATTTTTTTTATTTATTTATGTGTTGTTGTGTATCATCTCTTCATGGGCCATGAATCTGTTAAATAAAGCAAACAATCAATCAATTATATCTGGTGAACCTCCTCTTATATTTGAAGGTCAAGAATGAAAACATTAAGCAGTAAATATTGTGACTGGAGGTAGTGGGTTTATAAGTTTAATGTTAAAAAGAACATTGGTTTGGAAAAGTATTTCTTATTTTTCAATTAGATTATTTTCATATTATATATATATATATATATATATATATATA